TCATAAAAAAACTTATTATTTTGTAAGCTTAGGGTATTTTTTGCCCTTCTTTTATTGAAATTTATTTCCTTATCAACAAAGAAAAACCCTGATCCATAGGATGACTACAAATGTGAAACTATTACCGGGCTGTCAGAAGTAGTGATTCCTACTAATTTCAGAGATCATTATCTTAGTTGAAGAAAAAGTGTCATAGACTTATGTTTTAGATCAACTGTCAGATTATTTGTCTTTGCTTCTCCACCCAACAACATCATACCCAGTGTAATCCCTAGTGAGGTTTGGGAAGGGTAGTGTGTAAGTAGACCTCAGCCCTACTTTCTGCAGGTAGAGAGGCTTCTCCTCCCATTTAATCTAATAGCGACTCATCAAAAGCTTGTAATAACTAAAAGAGAAATGGAGCCAGTCCTTACTTGAGATGTTATTCAGGGAAAAAAGCCCAACTCTTCTTTGCACTCAGGGCAGCACTTGGTTTCACTGGCTGCTTGATAGATGCATGAGTCCTTAGTTTCACTGACTGCTTATAGATGCAAACTGCAACAAAGAGGAAATTATCATAAACATGAGATTAAGATTGACACCCAATTAGCTAATGATCCATCTCAATAAACAAACTTCAAAAAAAGAAAGAAGGAACTTTAAGTTTGACAATGTTGATGGTGATCCTTCAGTTAACATTGCTAGCTGAAGGTATACTTTTGTTGCATTTGTACTACTAGATATTTGCTCAACTACCATAAATGTTTATCCTTTTAGTCACACTTAAAGAGCTTTAAATCTTAGAAATCTATCATTCTGTCACTTCTTTAATTAGTGAAGATGCCGGAACTTTTAGTTTGCCAATGTGTAACAGTTCTTTGACTCTTGTCTAGCTTAAGTTGCTTTTTGCGAATTGATATATGATGCAAAACATGCTCGTATTTATGTGTATGATTGGTCAAAGTTCTTTTGTGGTAATTAAATGAACAAAATAGAGAGCTTTTTGTACTGAACTTATTTCTATTTACCAATGCTACCTATTATGTTTATAGTATAAAGGGTGAGGATTGAGGAATTTGTGTATCTTGTGTACGCATGCAATTGGAAAAATTGTCTCATGAAAACTCATGTAGAGATGTCTGAAGGCAAAAGTTAATAGTGGTGGCTATGTTGCAAGTTTACTACATAGAGTATGCCGCAAACATTTATTAATGTCATCTAGGTTGCTATCCATTGAAACTTCTGTATTGGCTGGTTTTCCAGAATCTTTTACTTCAGTCATTGGTCACCTTTTAGTCTTTTACTGAATCCACTGGCAACGTTCTATCTCTGTTTGTTTTGCCTGCACAATAAGAATTGTATCAAACTTCTAAATTGATCCAGAAAAGAGACCACATATATATCTAATATCTAATCATACTGAACTTTTAAGCGTAAGAAATGCAAATATCTTAAGGTTTATCTGTGGAGAAAGATATTTACTTTTTATAGACTTGCAGATGCTGTAGCCTTTTCACCTAGCATTGTTGCATTGACCGTATGGACTGATGCAGTGAAAAATTGAAATTTAGAGTATCTGACTAAGTTGAGGTAGAAAACATCAAGTCGAATATAAAAGATATTATGTCTGGAGAGGTAGTGATGATTTGATAACCTAATACGGTACACCGTTTCAAAGTTGAAATTTGTGCATAAGTTTTGCATTAAATACATTTAAGTCCCTGCTTAAAATGCCATGTAAGTTTTAGGTGAAAATCACTTAGATAGACTGTAATTTGCTGCAAAAGTTATATCATTAAACATTCTAGCATATCTCCCACAAACCATAATCTCATAATTGAAAGTTAACATTTCTTCAACAATGTAATTGGCTGCCATTGCAGATATTTGTTATTTAATAAACATTTAATTTTGTCTGCTAGACTAATTTTCGTATTGTTAGTTTATAAGTGTGTCCAAGAACTTAAGCAATTAAAAGAATGCTAATTTTTCTAAGAATCTATAAGTTTATATTTCAATTTTTCCATATAGAAGCAAACATCATAATTATACATTTAGTGATGATTTTCATGCACGCGAACATGAATAAGTTCAGTGGTGCATGCTTCAACTTTCAATTAAAAACCACTCCGTATTGGTAGAATTCTAGGTATTTATGCAGTTGTACTAAAGGTCAAATTTACTCCAAAAACTCATCCTTATCTTGCCTGCTTTATCTGGTCCCTTAGAACACTCAATACTGCAATGCTCTTAACTATATCATAGGTCGCTTCCATGTTAGATAAAGTTATTTTTTGCCGCTAGTTGTTTTTGGTTTTGCTATTATGTAGTTAACCCTTAGATGGTAGCTTTTTTCCTTTAAAAAGTGTTTTTCATGAATGCTTAAACCTAGAAATTACAGGCTCTATCTAGAGAAAGTGTTTAATATCAATGCTATTTACTAATCCTCACATCATCTATGCACTTATCTGTCGCATAGAGGGTGGTCCCAAAATTCTGGTAGGCATCTCTGGCATTTACTCTTCCATCAATTACGGTTTGCTCTCATGTTTTATAATTCTCCAAGAAGCATATACCTTAAACACAATTTAAGAGAAAGATGAATAAAAAATTCCTTCCCATATCATTGATCTGTGAATTCAATTGCCTAAAATGATAGAAAGACAATGCATGTCAATCTATCTATGGGAACCAAAGAACTTCCAAATTCTAATCAACAAATTTTACTAGAATAATATAAACAACACTTGTAGGAACGATGGAGAGGTGCTAACTAGTGTTAGGCGTGTTGGAAGACCTTTGACGTTTGTGTTGAATGCCAGTGGAGAAATAAAGGTAAGCCCGCTTATTAGTGTAAAATTTAAGAGATTTAGATTTATGAAATGTAACTTGAGTATCATGCACAATCCCCCGCCGGTCCACCCCTTAAGAAAATGATATAGAAGTTCTTACCCAATTTTGAGAAAATTTTTGTATAGGAAGAGCTTCTTCCTTCAAGAAAATATTGATCGTCTTCCTTGTGGCACTTGAGAGAATAACGAGAGAAGAATTTGCTCCACGGAAAAAAAGAGAGAGAGAGTGCAGAGTGTGAACCGAGACTGTCAGATTACCTAGATTACATTACTTACTCTTTTTGCACTTCCTCCTTAGGCATTTAATTAATTTTTCCTCCTTATGAAGCCAAATCTTACTTTAATTTCAGAAGAGAGAACCCGAAGGCCCCGATTCTTCTTCTACCAAATAGTACAAAAATTAAATAACTACCCTTATATACTAATACATACCGAAAAACAAAAAGAAAAAAAAACTATATTAATAGGAAAATCAAGAAAAACAACAGAGGTAGAATTCACCAGATACAAAAAAGGTTGTCTTTTTCAGTTTATTGCAATCAACTTCCTTCATTTTATCAAATCCTCTTGGTTTTAATCTGGACGATATGTTAGAAGATCAGTCTTGTTTGGTTTCAAAGGATTGTCAGAGAGAAAGTAACTGGGTGGCTTGCATGAATGGCAAAGAGCCATTGGTAAATTATCAGGAGCGTGAACTTGTGAAATGCAAGTTGCCAAATAAGTCTGATGCTTTCAACAGAGTGGAAGTCGCTCTATCTTTGGGCAACTCTTCAGCATCCCCGAACGAGCAAGCTGGCAATAAACGTCATGCTGGGGATAATTCTGATTCGAGCTCTCTTATTCATGCCATTGGCCGTGACAATTCCATCGGTTGTCTCATTCATTGCTCTCGGTCGGATTATGGCGCCATAGCATCTTTGAATCGTAGCTTTCGCTCATTGATTAGGAGCGGAGAACTTTACAAATTGCGGCGGGAAAATGGTGTGGTTGAGCATTGGGTTTATTTCTCCTGCCAACTGGTTGAATGGGAAGCTTTTGATCCTAGTCGCGGTCGTTGGATGCATCTGCCAGCTATGACTCCTGATGAGTGTTTCGTGTTGGCTGACAAGGAGTCGTTGGCGGTTGGCACAGAGCTGCTTGTGTTTGGAAAGGAGATCTTTTCGCTTGTCATTTATCGTTACAGTTTATTGACAAACACGTGGTCATCTGGGATGCGGATGAATGTACCGAGATGTTTGTTTGGTTCTGCCAGCATTGGGGAGATTGGCATTCTAGCTGGTGGCTGTGACTCACGAGGCAATATACTTAGCTCAGCTGAACTTTACAATTCGGAGTCTGGAACGTGGAAGACTTTACCGAGCATGAACAAGCCACGTAAGATGTGTTCAGGGGTATTCATGGATGGAAAATTTTATGTGATAGGAGGAATTGGAGGAGCCGAATCGAAGCGGTTGACTTGTGGGGAGGAGTATGATTTGGAAAAAGGAACGTGGCGTGAAATCCCAAACATGTCTCCGGTGCAAGCTAACGCTGCTAGGAATGATATGCCCGCTACATCTGATGCACCTCCTTTGGTGGCAGTTGTACACAATGAGCTGTACGCGGCTGATTATGCTGACATGGAGGTGAGGAAGTATGACAAGCAAAATAAAGCGTGGGTTACCATAGGACGGCTGCCCGAAAGAGCAGCTTCCATGTATGGTTGGGGTTTGGCTTTTCGAGCATGTGGTAACAGGCTAATTGTAATTGGTGGACCCAAGGGAGGTGCAGAATATATCGAAGTGAATTCATGGGTTCCAAGTGAAGGGCCGATACAATGGGACTTGCTTGGCCGAAAGCGATCTGGTAGCTTTGTGTATAACTGTGCTGTCATGGGGTGCTGATCATTTAATCCCGGTCTTTTGTCTTTGATGATGTTATCTTGATCCATCTTTCTTTCTGTTTTAAATTCATGTTTGTTCTTTGCTAGCAATCTTTATCGTTGTACTGCAATATGCATTTAAGGGGAAAAATAGGACGATGAAATTCAATAATTGGACGCTGACAGACAAGCGTCCTATCTCATGTCATCTTTTTTTTTCCTGCTTTATATGATTGGATATGTTTGAAAAATAGTTGCATCTTCATGAAGTCGCCACCATTACTTCTTGAGATATGACATGCATGTGTTTTACGTGTTCATTTCTTCTGAAGTTTTCCATCAAGTGTTTAGTTAATTCACTCATAACTCTTTGCATTTTGTTAATTTCTCTCTACATCTAGTACTGGAACAAGGGGAGGAAAGATGCACCGCAATTTGCTGCAAAGAGGAGAAGAGGAAAAGAAGGTGAAGTACGTTGTAAGTCACAACTCTTAGTGCTTGGTAAAATTAAGGCAGCATTGCAAACCCTCGTCTCGAAATATTTTTAACCTATTAGACTCTTCACTAACTTTGAAATTTAAAATGATAATCAAAGAACCTGAACTCATTTTCTAGTCGGCTTATAGAGATTATTCCACATGCAACATCTCTTTTAGCTGTTTCACAATCATAAAACGCGATTATCGCTTTAATAGACTTTTATGTTCAGTCTTGAAAGTTATTTTCCAGCTGGATTCTCTTCATAAGCAAATCCATTTGATCTCTGTGTAGATTACTGTGACTAAATCAAATCTCCAAATATTAAATGAGTGGTAATTACTTTTCCAGAATAGCATCTGAACTTACTCTTGTATTATACACTCTGGCCTCTGCAGTAACTTTATAATGCAACGAAGATCTTGGATTTTTTTTCCAGTTATTACTTACCCTTTTGGCACTTTCCCCTGATGAATTTAATTCCTTTCTCTTTGGAGGTCATATCTGAGTAATCAACTGTCATGACAAAGTGTACTGTCTTCTTAAAATTTGAAAGGGAATTTTTTAGTTTGCATCTCTAAAACTCGGTATTATTGTCCATATGTATTAACTGTGCTGAGTGTGCATCCTGTTGTAATTTGTGATAGTTGAATGTATTCATTAGTGAAGCCAAAAATGTAAATAATGATACAGCTAAGTACCATCTGGATTTGGACTAATAGAATAAACTTCTTTTGGTATTTTTCTCACCTTCATGAGGTTCTCATTGTTATTTGGGAATATAATGCCAGGTTTTATTACGGTAAATATTTTGCCGCATCCGGCCAAAACAATTTAACCTTAGTAGTATTGCTACGGCTAAATACTTTACAGTAAATATTTAGTCGCAACTGTTTATACACCAAATCAAATAATTTAACTTTAGTAGAATCGCATTCCATTATTTCTTAGTTTTACGTACTCAACATATATTGTGAGACCGTAACTTTGGCGTCTCTAATCCTTGTTAATGTCCACATATAGCATGGTTGTTCTCCAAATACATGAAGTGGCAAAACATTGGATGCATGGATTAACATGCATTTTCTTGTATCCCTTTGTTTCGGTTATATATATATATATTTTTTTTTTTTGGTTACTATTTTTTTTTCATAATCACAATCATAACTGTTGTGATTATGCTTTCCTTGAGCCGATGGTCTAACCGAAATAGCCTTTCTACCTTCACAAAGTAGATGTAAGGTCTGCGTACATACTACCCTCCTCAGGCCCCACTTATGATAAAGTCTGTGGGAATAGCAATACTCGTTTATGTAGTCGGAGGAGTAGGAGTAAGAATAGCAAATGATGGACCATCAAAACCAATACTATCTCTCTTCCTTTTCCTAGTATATTGGTTAACGACTGCATTTTTGTTTTGCTCCGCAAACAACACTACATATACATTAGTTTGCTGCAAGACCTCAATTCTAGGATAAATTGTCAAATGAAGAAACTAAAAATCAAGACATAATTTTTGAAATGTCCTGACAATTTGAAGTATGAATCTAATATTAAGGACACAATTCTCCAAAATATCCTTAACTTTTGGAATTTCACCTGAAGAACTGAACTTAATACCTGTGTTGGCCACCCTGTCTTCTTGTATTTCTTTAATAGACAATGGAGCTGAGATATTGCTTATGCTTGTTCTATCCATTGCATTTTCTTTATCTTGCAACTGTTCTCCATGTTCTTCGCTTGCAAGTTCACAAGATTCTGCAAATATTTACAAGAACTAACACAATTAGAACTTGTTACTAATCTTTGACTAAAACTAACATGCATAAGATCAAACAAAACTTCGTCTAACCTTTTGCGTCTGTCAAGATCATGCCAGTTAAATTATTATCTTGACTAGCATTATTTTGACTTCCAAAATTGTCTCTAAGAGAGATAGTTGTAGAGATATCATATGTTCCTTCTATACATCTTCAAACAATCTCACTTATGCTTGTTCCTTGGGTATTTTCTATGTCTTGAGATTGTCCTCCACTTCTCTCTTTTGAAATTTCCTCATCTTGATGTTCCACTCCATCTTCCTTTATTTTAATTTGCTCTGAAAGCAATACTACAATAATTAAGAAGGGGAAAATTTGCAAATCATGCAAGAATGCGGCCTTGTTGAGAGTAAACTGGGTACAAATTTCTAACTCTCAAATCTACTTGTGCAGAATTTCTGACTCTCAAATCCACACAAAAATCTCAGTAGCAAGACAGCTGAAAGAACATAATTATACTTCTGCCACTATTTCTTTCTGTATCATATGTTCAAAATGATCTAATTTTTCAAAGAAAGAACTTAATACATATGTTGTCCACCCTATCTTCTGCTATTTCTTCAAGAACTGACGGAATTGAGATATCGTATGTTACTTCAGCATATTTATCTTGAGATTGCACTCCATCGTCTTTCCTTGCAACTTCAGAAGATTTTGTACCATTTACAATTAATATTTGTTACTAATAGTTTACTGAAACTAACATGCATCGGGTCATCAAAATTCCATCTAACCTTGATTAGCATCATTTTGATTTCCAAATTTGTCTTTTAAGGGAGGGAGGTGTAGATAGATCGTATGTTCCTTCTATACATTTGCATAGAATCTCACTTATACTTGTTCCCAATGGATTTTCTACATCCTGAGATTGCACTCCAAATTTACAAATTATTTCTGTTACACTTCTCTCTTTTGGATTTTCCTGATCTTGACATTCTACTCCGTCTTGAAATTCCACTCCATCACAAGATTCTTCACACATTTGTAAGCGCAAAATAGTTAATATTTATTACAATATTTAATATAAATTTACAATGACAACAAAATCAAAAACTCTATCTAATCTTTACGAATTCCGATGCCCATATCAGTTTCATCTTCTAGATGCACATCTCTATAAAAGCTTTCATAATGATCTTCTAGATGCACATTTGTATCGTCACATTGATCATCAACGGCAGCTTTGCTAATTGGAACACTAGGTTCTCTCTCTTTGTTCCTTTCATGAGGTTTCTCAAGAAACTTCAATAAAGTATCAACCTTTGACTCTAGATTTTTTTTAAAGCCCGTGAGATAGTATTTAAAATAAGAATCAGAATGTTAGCTTCTTATAAGTTAAGGACAATTAGTCCCTAACTTAGAGTTACAAGTTCAGAAAATAAGGACATGTAGTCCTGAACTTAGAGTTAGCAAGTTTAAAAATTAAGGCCAGGTAATCCTAAACTTAGAGTTACAAGCTCAAAAATTAAGGACACTTAGTCCTTAACTTAGAGTTACAAGCTCAAAAATTAAGGACACTTAGTCCTTAACTTAGAGTTACAAGCACAAAAATTGAGGACAGGTAGTCCTGAACGTAGAGTTACTATTTCAGAAAATAAGGACATGTAGTCATGAACTTAGAGTTATAAGTTCAGAAAATAAGGATATGTAGTCCTGAACTTAGAGTTACCAAGTTCAAAAATTAAGGACAAGTAGTCCTAAACTTAGAGTTACAAGCTCAAATATTAAGGACAGGTAGTCCTAACCTTAGAGTTACAAGTTCAAAAATTAAGGACACTTAGTCCTGAATTTAGAGTTACAAGCTCAAAAATTAAGGACACCTTAGTCCTGAACTTAGAGGTACAAGCACATATATAAAGGACATCTAGTCCTGAGTTTATAATTTAGAAGCTCAAAAATTAAATACATGTTACCTTGATGTCCTTTTGAATCCTTTTTTCTGATAAAGTTATTTTTTGATGTATTCTAACACTTTCTGCCTGCAAATCCTTTTTCAACTTCTCCGATAATATCTGAATCAAAAACCATAAAAACAAAAAGTCTCTTAAGCAAAAATAAGCAAATAAAAACTAATGGTATTAAAAGACAGAAAACTTACATTAACAATTTCTTTAAGCAAGCCTTCATCAAATTGTGTAGAAAAATTGAACTATGATCTTGAGATAATTGCACATGCACACTAGCGGGCTCCGCATCTTCTTCAGAAGAAACAAATGGTACCATCTCGAGCAACTGAAACACCTATTATATAAGGGAAAAAAGTAAGTATTTAGAACCAAAACACATAGATAAAAATATAGCTAGTAATCCTATAAACTTAATTTTTCATTATGAAAGTACTTTTTACATAGGTCGTCATAATGCGGAGATTTCATATCTGAATAACATAGCATACGAGGGAACCCGCATTCTCTGAAGTTCACAAACGGTTTTTCCTGAAAAACTGGGAATACTTCCATAATCCAAACACATAAGGCAAAAGGGAAGCCAAGTATAATATAATTGTCCTTCTCTTTATCTTTGTCTTTCTCTGTGTCTCTTTCTTATTCTCATTGCCTAAAGTATTTTGTTTGGGCTTCAAGCAACTCTTCAATGATTTGAGTAATTTTTGATAATAAAGAGAGCCCCAATTGAAAGAAGAGCAGAGTTCATCGTCATCAATGATTTTCATTACCAGCTCAGACACATTCCAAGTCTTGCGCTTACCCATCAACACAGATTCAACAAAATAATTTGTTGTCAACTTCACCGCATCGTTCGTCGCTGCCTACAAATGATGCAGTTGTACCAGATGGGCGACTAGTAATAAAATGCCACAAATCGCCTAACTTAATTCTATCCTTTCCAGTGAAGTAGACTTTAGAAAGCTTATTAGCTCTTTCACTCAAAAAGTTGAAATCCACAGAAGAAGAACATTTCTACCCAGTAATTATCTGGAAGGCTTCACATGTAAACTTCACTTCATGATCAAAAACCTTGAATGTCATTGAATTCGTCTCATTGCTTACAATTTCAGAAAGCAACACACAATGAATAAGTTTGCCACAGAATTTCACACCTTCCAATCGGAAAAAGTTTTCGGAAACATCATCTCTCAACTTCTTCCATTGCGTGTTCGACAAGAAACTTTTTATTGTTTCCTTATACTAAAAATCTCCTTTCCAATAGCTCATCAAATTACGTCAATCATCAAACTCGAAAAAATGATCTCATTCCATTAGCACACTACAAAGAAAGAAATAGAAGGTAAACATTAGGACTATTTTCTGAAATGTCCTGAATATTTAAACTAAATAACTAAAATTTAGGACCTAATTAGATGCATCTTTCCTAAACACAGTTAGTGTACAAATTTATCTTTAGCAACTTCCTTGACACACAGATTGTTTAATCAACTGCACATTTACAAGCTTTAGAAAGATTCGGCAAAAAGCTGTGAAATTGAGGAAAAAGTTATGAAGATGAACAATGACAAAAAACTGAAGAACGGAATGGGACCTGTTAAGATTTCATATACATTACTCCATCTTACAAGCGAACCATGACTCACTGGCAAAGGAATACTCAATATGAAATTGTTATCTTACTATCATTTGGATAAGATTCCACTTCATTAAC